GGGGGAGGTTACTGATGAGGACGATTTCCTCCGAAGTGCAGGCGAGAACTTTACTTCGTACTATCAGCCATTGATTCCATGGGTCAATAGGTTACGCAAAGGGGTGTTCCCAGGTGGTGAGAGGTGGAAAAGACAAAGGCCTGAGCTCTACTGTTCAATGAAGAAGATTCTTCATGATGCGCAGAAGGACCCAGCAGTGCTAGCAGAAAGGTAATATTGTATCGTACAGCTTTTCACCAAAGCTCAGGGCTATGTTAATGTACCAATCACTAATCCACATGCGTTGACTTCATTGCACGATGTACTATCTCCATGAGATAGATGGCTTGCCACAAGCTGCTGTATTCTTCCAGGAACAATCGCAGTTCAGCCTCACTCACGACATTCAGAACTACTCTACCAATATGTCCGATTACCGGTACCAGCCTCTAGGGCCGCCAAACATATGACTTCGAAGAAACCATCCTGCTCGGGGCGACCCCCCATTGAAAGTCGATTTTGTTGTAGAAAGACTCCTAGATCCAAAGCGGGATCCCTCGATGCCAGATTCTCGGCCTTTCCATACGCATGGGAAGGCCAAAAGCCGAAACAAACGATACAACTTGGGCAGAACACAGTTCAGATCACACAAAATCTTATGAGGGCACTTGTCGTCACAAGTCAACGTTACACGGATCCGGATCATCTCCTTTGGGTTGATGCAATCTGTATCAACCAACAAGACCCTGCGGAGAAGGCGAGCCAGGTTATGGCGATGAACTTGATTTATGGCCATGCCCACTGCACGCTTGTGTGGTTAGGCAACCCTAACTTTCTGTGACAACCGCGTACCTGCAAACTTTTCAAGCTACTAAACGAATGTTGTGGGGATGGAATCACGACGGACATGTGGCGTGCGGGCTTTCTTCCAGCGTTGTGGAGCGAGGTTCCCTGGTTCACCCGCATATGGGTTATACAAGAAGTCGGCTACAGTATAACCGACAACGTCGCGCTGCTATTCGGTCTTCATTAGGAGGTAGAAGATGCTCCAACGAGGTTGAGGGCCTGCTGCATATCAGAGACGAAAACGCCCAGAGAGGCAGCATCCTGTTCATGGTGGAGCGTTTCGTGGATTTCGGATGCAAAGAACCACGCGACCGCATTGCCGTCATGGCCGGGATGCAACCTCGGCTGCGGGATGTCCCAGCCACAGCTTTGGCGATTGGTTACACTTCTACTGACCAAGTCATGTTTCTACGCTTCGCACAGCATCTCGTTGACCGCGAATTTGGCCTGGCGCTGTTCTGGCTAGCCGCTGTTAAAGGTCCCAAGCGGTCTCCATGGCACTTGTGGGTCCCGGACTGATTCGAAAGTTCGGCTCAGACACCAGCTCAGAAACCAGCTCTTGATATCGACGACTTCTGTGACCATCCTGCTCATTACTCTGATGGTATATTGCACATCAAATGCGCCAGATTGGAGGCGTTCAGCAACGGCTGTCTGGCCACGTCCAACAAGCCGAGACCTAAGAATCACAGCATAAGTGTACTTTTGGAGCCGGATGGAAAGGGAAATTACATTTTGCTCGGATCGCGGGAACTGCAAGGACGAGTGCGCGCTATAGACTTGAAAAAACCATTGCATATCCGATAGCCAGCCGCCTTTGTCAACAACGACTAACTCAAGTATCCGCCGTCGGGAAGCGTCGAGATACGACTAATCGTGTACAACCATTCCCTGCTCTTCTGGGAAATCTCGGCGCGTTCGATCTGACTCCCTCAATTGTCCATGTCTTTCTGGTTGTGGAAGAATGTGCATCGTCAGGTGATCCATAGCATTGGTCACTCTTCTCTCATCCCGTCGGAGGCCTCGGTTTCTAGCGATTCAGGTTACAAACTGGTTTGCAGCTACAACTGGGCAGTTGGTCAGGATGAAAAGATCCACATACCTGGTAAGCTTGAAGTGTCTGGGGAGCACAGCACACATGAGTAACTATCAATAGGTTCCGCGGCAGTCTTTCGGGACGTTCCCTTGCCGGTTGCCATCCCGAAGGATCGAGGCACCTTTTTCGTGGACCAGAACGCGGCACGCGCCCCTGAGTTCCCTTTCACGCCGCTGTTTCGTGCTACGGCATCGATGAACCCATCTTTTCGCTTTGATGATATTGATATCTTGGTGAACCGGAACAGCCTTAGAAAGCTCCTCGATTTCTCTGCGGGCCGAAGTCAAGACAGTTTTTGCGTCATCCTACACCTCGTCCACCGAACTCTGGTTATTGAGCGTTGCGAGAGGACCGCCCGCGAGCTGATCAGTGGTTCCAAGAACTCTGGGTGGGGCAGAAACTTCGAGCGGATATTCACGAAATACCCGCTTGGGCTTGAAGACAGTACGGCATATCATCGGGCTCTTGATACCAGCTGGGTGATCTCACATGCGTCCAAATGGGGCTGGTGGCTCCTGCACGCTGCAGGCAACGATTGGTCGTCTGCCCTTGCACTGTGACGGCCTGGCAAATCCGAAGAAAGGTTAAGGTCGCTTGCTTGGGAGAAGCACAGTCCAGGTCTGTAAATTTGCTAGTTCGGCAAAACGGGGCAGCTGCAGCGCCTCAGAGTTGTGTTGTTAACGTTAAACTAACGTCCTTACAGTTTTCTCCACATCTCAAGACATAACCAACAGCTGGTTTGTAACGCATGAAAGATTGATCTGCCACACCTTTGACCAATAGAGTTTAGCCCGTTCATTTTGTCAGGCTTCGCGCTAGCAGCGTGGGGACTACGTCTGGCGCATGGACGATGGCTTGAATATGCACAGTACTTTCCTCTCAACTGTGCAACAAGAGAATCTACACAATGGACCGCGACGGTCCCGGATTGAGAAGATCTTTGATATTTGTATGTTTGAAGAATCATTCGACGTTGTTGAGTTGATCGCTGTCGAGAAGCTCCGGAACGCGCTACGTGGCACTAGCACGATCCACCGCGTGGCGACTCTACGCACGTCCCGACGCGATGGATCGCGAGCTAGATTCGATGTCCATCACCGTTGCGAGGGAGGTTGTGGCAGCGAGCGACGAGGATCTGCCATCACGAAGGGTGCGAAAACCATCTGCAAAAGTCCGACTAAACCAGACTCCCCAAGAGATAATCGACAATGCGACCGACGGAGCGACGGAGACTGCTGATGGTAGCCGGCGGACGGCGACCACGCGAGCCGCAACCTTGGCCAAGGAACGCGCGAAACCTATAGAGGATGACGACAAGGGACTGCTCCTGACGATGGGCAAGCAGGTTAAAGAGCTACACACAGCGGTCAAGATCATGTTCGATGCGTGGAAGAAGTCAGAAGCATGGAATAAGAACGTCGAGGCAGAGCTTCGCGTGGTCTACAGTCTGTCAAAGGAGAGCTTCAAGCGATGAAAGAACGCGTGGAAGACGAAAGCGCCAAGACGAACGAGAACCTTGAAGCAATCGCGGCAGTGGCTGCGACGCGGAACAGCCCAAGTGCGTCGTACGCGGACGCCGCGCGAAGCGGCTTAGGCGGGCAAGGTCGCGACTCGCGGGTAGCTACGCTGGGCAACGCGACGCCGCCGAGCCGCAGCGACCCTCTATTCTGTACGATCGACACATCAAGAGTTGATGAAATGAGCGACAAGCCCAACGCAGGTCGGATCCGGGCTGCGGTGGAGAAGGAACTGCGCGCTATGGACGGACAGAGTAGCTGGCGCTGTCGGGCCATCACAGTGGACCCAAGGAATGCGGATAGGATTCGGATCATTTGTCGCGACGATGCTGAACATAGGCTTGTCAAGCAGATCGCGGAGAAGAGCTTCGGTCCCGGCACACGAGTTCTACAGGACGAACTCTACCCCGTGAAGATCGATAACGTGAAGAGATGGACGAGAAGGGTAATGTCAGGGCTGAAGCGGCAGAGGCACTTAGCCGAGAAAACGAAACCACCGTTGCCAAGATATCTTGGCTGAGCAAGAAAGACATGCCCAAGGCGTATGGGTCCATGGTCGTGTTCGTGACCAAGGCCAGTGATGCGCGTAGACTGATCTCCGAGGGCTTCTTCCACGTTGGAGGAGAGTCCGGCACGACGATGGCGTTTGAGCGGCGGCCACGTCCTCAACAGTGCTACAACTGCCAGCAGATTACCAGGCACAAGGCCTATCAGTGCGCAAACCCCCAGGTGTGTGGACGATGTGCCAAGGTAGGCCACCACCACAGTGAATGCCGTGAGACGATCGTGACATGCGTGCCTTGTGGCGGACCGCACGAGTCGTTCAGCAAGAACTGTCCGAAGCTGTATCCGCGCTCCCATGAGTAGGAAGGTCCAGATCCTTCAGCTTAACGTGAGGAAACAGGCCGAGGTCCACGAGAGTTTGATGAATGACGAGGCGCTGCGCGACTTCACGGCCATAGCGGTGCAGGAGCCATGGGCGTGGAGGATAGAAGGTAAGGCCATTACTGTTCCGATGGGACATAGCAGGTGGACGAGGATGGTACCGACGGAGTGGAGGGACGAAGGAAGATGGGGAATCAGGAGTTTGCTGTGGGTGAACAACGAAGTAGGGGCGGAACAGGTGTCGATAGCGTCCTCGGATATTACTGCGGCCGTTGTTCGGCTTCCGGATCGAAGGCTGCTGGTGGCGTCGGTGTATGTGCCGGTGCAGAAGCCGGAGATGCTGCGGCAGGCGTGCGACCTGCTGAAGCAAGCCATCACGAATGTCCGAGGAGGAACAGGCGAAAGGGTGGACGTGGTTCTGGTAGGAGACTTCAACTGCCACGACTACCTGTGGGGAGGTGACGATGTGTCGGAGGGCCGGCAAGGCGAGGCGGACCCGATCATCGAACTGATGAGCGAGTACTCGCTCCGCAGCCTCCTTCCGCGTGGCACGAAGACGTGGGAGAAGAACGATGCGGCAATGACGATCGACCTATCCCTCGCGTCCGAAGAGCTAGCAAGAACGGTGGTACGATGCGCCCTGCACGAGACAGACCACGGGTCGGACCACCGGGCGATCGAGACGACCTTCGACATTGCCGCGCCTGAGATGGAAAGCCGACCACGGCTCCTCCTCAAGAACGCTCCATGGAAGCAAATCAATGAGAGAGTAGAAGCAAACCTAGGGCGAATGCCAACAGGAGGTACAGTGCAGCAGCAGACAGATCGACTGATGTCTGTGGTGTGCGAGGCAGTAGAAGCACTGACCCCCAAAGCCAAGCCATCTCCGTATGCGAAGAGATGGTGGACGGCCGACCTCACACAGCTCCGGCAGATCCACACTCACTGGAGGGACCGGGCGAGGGCGGAGAGAAGGGCAGGTAACACCCAATTCGAGCTGGAAAAACGCGCCCGCTCGGCAGCCAAGCAATATCACGACGCCATCCGACAACAGAAGAAGAGCCATTGGGAGGACTTTCTGGCCGGCGACACAAAAATCTGGAAGGCCGCGAAGTATCTCGACGCCAGTAAAGGGGCATCTTTCGACAAGATCCCCCACTTAAAAAGAGCCGATGGTTCCCAAACGGAAGACGCCGCAGAGCAGGCCGAAGAGCTGCTTTCCACATTCTTCCCTCCTCTTCCCAACACGATTGAGGGGAGGGGGAGCGGTCACAGAGGTCGCCGGTACCCTTCCCTAACCTCACACTGGGAGAAGTAGAGAGACAGCTCTTTGCGGCGAAGCCGTGGAAAGCACCCGGAGAGGACGGTCTGCCGGTGGCGGTGTGGAAGCACACAAGGCCGGTGGTGAAGGGGAGGGTCCTCTCACTTTTCCAGGACTCGCTAGATGAAGGGACGCTGCCTCAGCAATGGCGACACGCCAAAAACATCCCGCTGAAGAAGCCAAACAAAAGCGACTACGGTGTGGCAAAGGCCTGGCGACCGATCTCGCTGCTCTCGACGCTTGAAAAAGTGCTAGAGTCGGTCTTGGCAGAACGTATCTCGCACGCGGTCGAGACGTTTGGCCTGCTCCCTACGAGCCACTTTGGCGCTCGCAAGCAGAGGTCGGCGGAGCAGGCGCTGGTACTGCTGCAGGAGTACATCTACAGAGCGTGGAGGAAGAGAAAGGTGGTCAGTCTGGTCAGCTTTGATGTCAAGGGAGCATACAATGGTGTGTACAAGGAGAGACTACTTCAACGACTCAGGGCACGGGGTATGCCTGAGAAGCTTGTGAGATGGGTCGACGCTTTCTGTTCCCATCGTACAGCAAGCATATTGGTCAACGGTCACGAGTCCGAGGCTCGTCCG